CCGTTATTTCCCTGGGTGGGAGAACCATGGGCTGAGCTGGCCCGGGGGAGTGGATGGCGCCATTTGGTGACACGCGGAGGGGAAAGACCCCTGGCCTTTCCGCGGCCCATCCCGGGGATAGATCGCCCGGTGTCGATAGGCCAGGGAGAAAACCCTCGACTCAGCTCGCTCTCTCGAGACCGACAAGCGTCGTCGACCAAGATCCTCCTCCGCATCCGAGCTTTTCCGCCGGCGACCGAAGTGACGTCCCTCGACCTCCTCCGCCCGGTGCTCAGCATCCACGCTCCGCTCCTCCAGTGTCAGCGGCGGCGATGGGCCACGGCCGTCACCCTCCTCCTTCCTCGGATCACCCTCCGCCTCGAAGCTGCTGACCCATCTAGCAATGGCGACGGCGGCGGCGGCGGCAGCGGCAGACACCTACTTCAACCAAGGTTACCCCCTCCTCTTCCACCTCATATTTTGTTCTCCAATCCATGCACTCAGGGTGCATGAACTGATGCTTGAACTTGTTGGGTTCCAGATCCAAGAACATGAGCACCGGCCATCTTAAAGCCCACCATCAGCAATCTCGAGTGAGCACAAACCGCCTCCTTTTAATTGGTAGTAGATCTGTATACTACTGCTTCAAAATCAAGCTTTACCTCTTTTTTATAGCTGCTATTTATTTAGTTTAAGCCGTTGTTTCTGATGGATTACTGAAAAATCCTCCTGCTTTGTTTGTGCTCTGAGGCTTGGTCCTACTGTGAGTATTCTAGCATTTGGATATGGGCCGTAATTTAACTTGGACTACAACTGATTGATGTAGATTGGTGCATTGAAGGGGATCAATTTGTAGTAATGGGTATCATCAATGTTTCCTCGTAGCAATTGATTTCAGCAATTAAATCTGAAGTATGGGCATCAGTATCTACAGATGGCGGGTTCTTGGCCTGAGTCAACTTTGTACAAAAAAACAGGATGCGTGTGCAGCAGCTCCATCCAAGACACATATGTGCCATCCAGGGGAAATACCTTCATACCTTGTTCGGTTTAAATCCCTGTGAATTGATATTTGCTAGTACACTAGAAATTCCTCATCCAATTCTTATGCTATTGTAATGTTACTTTATGTTAAGACTAGATGTGAATAATCTGCTAAGTGATTCTTATTTTGGTATATGCAGATGGACGGTGTTTGGTTTGTTCTTTCAACTCTTGATTCCTTAGCTACTACTGGATCTTGCATCTGTGTTTAGCTAGTAGAGTATAAAATCCAAATTCTTATGACCCAAAGTATGAATGATTGTTTTAATGTTGCTCTGCGTTAATACCAGAGGAGGACAATTTGTTACTGAATCTGTTGCAATGATTGTCTAAGCTCAAAATGGTAATCATTACTGTCTCTTGCTTTAGTATATACATATGGAATTTGTTGCACTGAAATTATAGTTTAAGCTCAAAATATACATGATGTACATAATTTATTTTTTGTTGGCAAATATGGAATGACTGTCCAGATTAAAAATAACATTGCTTGATAATGATTTGTGGTTTGTCTGAATCTGATAAGTGACACTATGTCATTCTTCGTGTTGCGAGATAGTCTTATCTTTGCAAAGAAACGAACTGCTTAAAGACTATGTAATCCTGTTTGGTGGAGTGAAGGGTTTTTCCCTAACTAAAATTAGCACAAGTGAGCCTTCATGATTTAATCTTCCAAGGCTCGTTTTCTAGCCCATGTGTTTTTAAGGCTGTTGCAGCCAATGTTATTGCTGCACGTATTACACATACTTTTTTCTTTGTCTTTATTTTTATACAATATATACCTTTTACTTCTGCAATGAAGAAAAACTACCTTGCCTATAGTCTGAAAATGTCTGCCCAATAATGCTTTATTTGTTAACTTACATCAATCTATTCATAGTTCTTATCTAAAAAGGATAAGCGAGCTGGTAGGTGGATCAGTGATAGGATAAACCAATTGCATTTTTCTATGCTCGATTAACCTTCTACAGTTGTATGTGTGCCTTTCTTTCCATCCAGTAGAGAAGGGCTCAGATAGGATAAACCATGGTCATGTACTGTTCTCAAATGCAACATAGAATCACCGTATTGGTCGAGTACTAGTCAGAATGGTGAGCCTTTTCACTAGTCTTGCCATCTCTTGTTGATCTATTTATGCTTGAAAACAGTGCAATGAAACTGTGTTCTAGTATTGAATGATTTACTAAACTGTTGTATTCTGAAACAGTTGCTGACTTCCAAAAAAATACTTATAATTTAGTTGGCGTGGAGCTGCGGTTCTCAGCTGACGTGGAGTAGAGGAAGACGAGATATCCTCAACATTCCCTTACAACTTGCATCTTCAGAAGTGTGGTTGTCCTGGACATGGTTTTTGATAATTTAGCACTTTTGGTACTGGGGTAAAGGTCCAGGACAAGCACGCAACTATCGTGTTTCTAGTACCTGAAATCTATTTGTTCATATTGGCGTTGGCCTCATTGTTCTAAAACTCAGAACCTGTTGAATAATGATGTTCTTATTTGTAATGATAACATGAGAGGAGGAAGATTTCTGTATTAACTTCCTAAGAAATGCACCTCTAGATGATTTTCTCAAAAGTGTGTCGAGATGATATTCTCAATATATTATTATTTATCAATTTGCAAGTTCATTGATTTCCTCTGATTATTTTCAAATTCTGGAATTATTCGTAATGTCCTGGACATTCTATGCATTTTGCAGAATTATTTTGTGGTTTTTGTTTAGACTTTTTTGGGAATTACATGTGGAATTGGCCTGTTTTCTAATGTTTATTAATAAACAAATTATCTACTATGTGATTCAGACGCTAGAACGATTCATGCCTCCTTTGGTTTGTAGGATTTTTGTAGGAATTCTATAGGATAGGATTTGCAAAGGAAAAATTTCTTTGAAGCACTTTGGTTTGTAGGAATGGATTCCTATTCCTATGTAGGATAGGAATCAATCCTTCACGTTTTGGAGGAAAAAAAACATTAGCCTAGACTCAATGAAAAAAATCCTATCCTATGTATCAAATGACATCTCTTTCTCTATAGAAATTGACATACATGTCATCTCACTTCCTATGATTTTCCTATTCCTATAAAATTCCTATCCTATGAACCAAAGAAGGCCTCAGTTTTTCCCCATCCACCTGTTACCAAATGGCAAAGGAAATATCCCCCGTGGTGGTAGGAGGAATCCCACCTACCAGGGAAATCCCCCCGTTGGGGTTTTGCTGCCCTGGGAATGCTCACGCTGCAACCAAACAAGGTCTTAAAGGAGCACACCCCATCCGTCCGTACCTTCCGTTAGGCGACACCTGTAAATCTAAGATTATTGTCCATCGAATCTATCTCAGGTGCCATCAAGGTTTTTCATTGAAACTGATGCGTCGGCCGCATTATGTCCACCCGGCCATTTATGTTCGAAATTACGGTGCAGTCACCATTGGATCTATCTTGCATAATTGTTAGAGGTGCCGCACTATGTTGGCGTTGTTTAAGCTCATAGCCTCCAAGATATTCGGCAACGGATTGTCATATGGTCATTTAAACCATGCAGCATTGAGCTTATGTTAACATTGCTTTTTTTTTCTTCTCGAATCCGCACGAGTGTACATATCATATATTAAACGAGAAAGGGGAAAGAGCTCATGCTAACATTGCTTGCCAATGAACATTTATGCCATGTGGGTTCGCCTAGTCGGTGAGAGTGGAGAGTGGCTCCGATTGTGATCGTCTTCAATGGCGAGCCTAGGATCTCAACACTAGGGTGCCATGATTTAAAATTTATGAAAATTTACACTATAAATAGTTAATTTGGTCTAAACACCATTAGAGTTCCAACAAAAAAATTGAGCAAAGGGGGTTTCCCCTGGTTAACCGTCATTGTAGTTCCAACAAATAAGCCCAAAATAGGATTTGTCTACATACAACATGACAGGGGAGTATGGTTGAACACAACTTTTCCATTGATCGGGTGCCTATTTATGCATGCAGAATTACAACCGAAGCTAGGACGTGTGCTAACCAAGCAGTGAGCAGGATTAGGAGTGGCGTACAAGCGCACTGACACCAGTCTATCTGGTACTGTCCTCGCTAATAGTCTAACACTAGTAGCAGAGGGGCACCCCTGATCCCGATCGTCTCTGTCCCGGTGCGTGAAATTTATCCAAAGTGTTGTCGACCGGGAGCAGTAAGCAGAGGTCGCTCTCGTCCAGCTTCATCAAGTCCACCAGGCCGTCCCAGAGCAGGTCCCCTGTTTCCTCCTCCTCCGCGCTGCGGGGCGAAGGCGACGGAGAGCACGCGTCTGACTTGGCCGCGGCATTGCCGCTGTCGTCGCGGAGATGCTGCTCGGGGAAGGAGAAGTTGAGCTTGGCGCGCGGGCCGCGGAACTCGACGGCGGCGCGGTCGTAGGCCCTGGCGGCGTCCTCGGCGGTGTCGAAGGTCCCGAGCCACACCCGCACGGCGCGGCGCGGGTCGCGGATCTCCGCCGCCCACTTGCCCCACGGCCGCTGCCTGACGCCGCGGTACTGGCTCTTCTTGTTCCTCCGCCTCCTCTGCGGCCCGCCAGCGGTCGCCGCTCTCGGCGCGTCCGATGCCGCGACCGCGCGCCCGGCCTCGGCGCCGAAGAACTCGCAGCCGAGGCACCCGTCCACCCCGCACGCCGTGCACGCCTCCTTGCCCGCCGGGAAGAAGAGGTCCGGCGCCGGCGTGGCGTACCCGGAGACGACGTGCAGCAGCGCGGCGACCATGACGCTCTGCTCCTGCTCCGGCGAGAAAGCCCTGCCGGCGAACGGCTGCGGTGGCTCGGCGGCCGCGGAGCTCGGGCCCTCCTCGAAGTGGCCGTCGAAGCGGATCATGTACTGCCGGCTCGCCTCCATTGACGCCGAGACGCTGAAGGTCTGTGTGTTCTTGCTGCCGATGAGTGCCTGATTGTGCCTTGAGCTGAGTGATGGCTGGAGGCTGGAGCTAAGCTTGAAGGTGATGGTTGTTTGAAGTGGGAGTCCGGGGGGAGAGGTATATATATGCTCCGGTCGACGTCGCAGGGGACGCGGCGCAGGCGCATGCAAAACAGAGGGCACCGACCATTTCTTTGGATGGGGGAAAGCTCATCAACGCGTGCGAAACGTGCGCGTTGGGGGGCCTTGGGTTTGTTTGTTGGTTTTGTTTATTTGTTTATTCCGGTATTGCCCTCCAGACGAGGGACAGCCGAGCCGAGCCGACAGCCTCAGCGTGTGGACGCGATGGGATCGCCAGCAGTGACGCTAGTGGAAGGAGGAGAGAGTGGGATCGGGATGTGATGGACCCATGGCCCATCAGGGCCTGGAATCGTTACGGATAAGGTCGGTCCGTCAGTCCGTCCGTCGAAAGGGTCAAATGGATGATTGTCATGTGGTTTTGCTCGCCTCACGTGGCGTCGAAGTCGGCTGATGCCTCATGCACCCTATTAGCAGTACTACCTCCGTCACGGTTTAGAAGGCGCGTTTGGAAATTCTCTGGGACCTAGGTGATTATCTATTGGTTATGAGAGGGGCTAAAAAATAGCATTCACACTATGCATGCATGCATATAGAAATAGTATATGGAATACTAATTAGCTACTAGAAATAAATGCAATGCGCCCTAAACCTTGTCTATTGTGGAAACGCATGCAAATTTAACTGTGCCTTCTAAACCGTGACGGAGGGAATAGCTGGATTGCTTGTTGTGTTTTCCTTTCTTTATCAGAAAAAGACAAACGGCCATTTTTTTGTGTGTTTTTTAAAAAAACGGCCATTTTTTTCTTCAGGCTCAATACTTGTATTATTCAATCAAAGTATCATTACAATCTTCAGCAACTATCTTTAAAACCTCAGGAGGACCTGACCCTAACCAAGTCAGTCCTATTATTAACGCGATCAAAAGCAGCTAACCTGTCGCTCGCTTTATTTTGTGAGCGTGCGACATGAGTAATACAAGTTTGATGAAGACTCAATAACAATCTAATCTCATTCACTAGCGAAGAGTACGCCGATCGATCAGTGCCCCCACATGTGATCATGGACACTGCAACTGAAGAATCCATCTCAATTTCTATCGGCAGTTCTGTGCGTTGAATCAACGAGGACAACCCCTCCATACAGGCACAAAGCTCCGCCTCCAGCACATCCCTGCAGGAATACAAAGCTCTGCAAGCTGAGAAAAGATAATCTTCCCTGAAGAATCTCTCAAAATCATACCCGCACCAGCATCATCACACGAGACAAATGCACCGTCGGTATTCAGTTTAGTCCAACCCTGGCTCGGTTTAGCCCAGCTACGCGACTTGGGCACATGTACAACCGGCTTTACCCCCGGGTCCATGGTGATATACGCTTTACCTTTCACCGGATCAGCGCCATTATCATGTTTGATGGCCATCAGTGACTCCAAGTAGCTCCGCAGGAATCTGACAGACACGTCCATTGGCGGGGCAGGTTTGTGATGCACCAGTTCATTGCGTACATATTAGCTTCTCCAGAAAATCAGTAGCAGCATACATCTCTCCAACTCAGTCCTTGGTGCTTAGTACTTGCAATAACCACTCCTTCCCACAATTGACTATCGATTGTAGATGAGGGAGTCTCCAGACTTTTGCCATTTCCATATATAAATCCCGTCCAAGTTGGCATCTTAAAAACAGATGAAAATTGTCCTCCGTATCCAAACCACATACTGGGCATATGCTAGTAGTTTCAAGCCCAATCTTATGTTTGTTCTTCCATGTCGGCAATCCATTAGTCGCAATTCTCCATGCAAAGTTTGAAACTGTCGGCGGTGCTCCACAATTCCATATGAACTTCCAGCAACTCCTCGCTCCCGGCGGCGACGAGCTAGATGATGCCGCATTAGACCTATGTGCCTCGTCGAAAGCCAACTGGTAGGCACTCTTCACGGAAAAACACCCAATTTTTCAGGCCCCCATGCAATAACGTCATCCCCTCGCCTTAGGGATGCTCTGATCTTTAAGTTCTCCACCACATCTGCTTGAACGAAATACTGATTCAGAGTTTGAATCTTCCAGGAGCCATTATCATTTAGTAGATCCGAAACATACTGAATGGGACATAGGGCCTTGTCTAGAAATAGGTTTATAGGAGAAAGGACGTGGGATCCAACTATCCCGCCACACCCTAATGCTACTCCCAATGCCACTCTCCAAATTAAGCCTTTCTTCAATAAATCCAAGCCGTGACTAATGGCCTGCCAGGAGGACGAAGCATTTCCGATGAACACCGTATCTTCGAGCTTGCCCTCTGGGTAGTACTTGGATTTGAGCAAACGCGCACAAAGGCTATCCAGTCTCGTGATAAGCCTCCACGCCTGACGAGCTAGAATTAAATAGACGAAAATCCCGGAAGCCAACACCACCCCTATCTTTCGGTTGCATAAGATGGTCCCATCCCTTCCAATGTACCTTCCTCTTTCCCTTCTCCGAACCCCAATAGAAATTCCTCATCATTCTAGTGAGGTCATCACAAACTGAGAACGGCAGCTTAAAAACTCCCATTATGTATGTGGGCAAAGCTTGTGCGACTGACTTTATAAGTACCTCTCTTCCCGGCTGAGCTAGGTACCCATCCCCCCACTGAACGAGCCTTTTGGTGAGGCTTGTTTGAAGGTTTTGAAACTTTTCTTTAGATATGCGTGCCTCAGGTGTGGGAAGACCCAAGTACTTCTCCTCAAAGACCAAACTCGTGACATGTAGAGCATCCCTAACTTGATCTTGAACCGAGACCGGGCACGCTTCACCAAAGAACTTAGAGCACTTGTCATAGGTAAGGCTTTGGCCCGTAGCCGAGTTATATAAATCCAGAGAAGCCTTAACACCACCGTCTCAGCAGAGCAATCTTATTTAAATTCAGAAACTCGTAGAAACAACGGTCGACAAAGACAAACAATAGATGTAGTGTTTTGGCGTAGCAGGGAGTAAGATTATTATTCTATTTACTCTTGCCATTCCGATGAATAAGGTGCATACACATGACTGCAAATTCCGAATATTTAGAACCAAGATACTTAAAAGGAGAGGAGTAACTTTCAGTGCTAGCAACAAGAAAATGACAAGGGCAATGGAGTAAAAGGGTAAAAGGGTTAATGTAAAAAAAAACATGATGAATTAATGATCCGCATGCATAAGTAACTCATGTGTTACTGTCTACCCGGGCTGGCGTCTAAACATATGCCCCATCACATCAACATTTTTTTACTCTGGCACCAAGAGAATGAGAACCATGTCCCTCAATCTCAATGCCTGAAAGAATCCTCTTTTCAAATGCTCGGGACGTCGTTGTCATAAGAAACATCTAAAAATGTGTATGTACCAGGCGACGTGCCCCGTCCCTGTTTCGAACAAATCAACAAAATGCTGGCTGTTGGTGTACATGGGTGCGCACTGAGCCACGGAGACGACTCTTCGCTCTCGCTGGCAGCCCGTCCGTGGTGCAAGCAATGGTGACAGATCGGAGACAGCTCCTCCCGAGCCACGGGGCGTCCACGGATGGATATTTTTTGTTCTCCGGTCAACGTCGAAAGCGTCAATATCTCTTTCTGCTGACAAACAACAGAGACAAGTCACAAGTGCCTGTGTGACGTTAAGCTTCCCTGAGCAGAGCGCTATGCTTACGATCGTTGGTGTTTAGCGTCGTGCATGACGCGTGTGTGGCCTGCGTTGCACGTTGTGACTTGTATGGTGTAAACGTGACACTCCTGGTTTCTTTTCTTTTTTACGGAAAGTGAAGATAATATTAATCCATCGTTTTTACAGAAAGACCCAAAAGTAAAAGAAAATTACACATAACCCCTTCTTCTATATCCCGACTAGGCCGACGAACTGGAGCCGTCGATGGCGCGCCGCTGCCACTGCTCCGCCTCAGGCCTTGGATTGGAGCCAGCCTCGTGGCAGCCGGGAGGTCACCGGTCGCCGGATCCACATATCCTACTCGCAGGAACGCCGTCTTCGTCGCGATGGATGCCAACGTCATCTTCACCTTCGTCTTCAACCTCCGGATCCTCCACCACCCAAGATCCGGCCGGGGCACGACAAGCGCACCAGATCCGTAGATTGGCGGGCTTGGGGAAGTCAGCCGCCGCGCGATGGAACTCCAGGGAGAGCCGCCGCGAGAGGGGAAGCGAGCCGACGACAAACACCACACCGAGGCCATCTTCACCTCCATGGCGACGCCGGCCGCGGCCCTACCAAGCCCTACGCTATGTACAAGCCTAGATCCATGGTTTCCCCAACCTCCCGCAACCGGAGCGACCGCCGGAGGCGGAGGAAACCGTAGATCGCCGACGAGTGAGGTGGGTTGACTGGGAGTTCTTAGAAAATCGCCTCTCGCTACGACACTCCCGGTTTCTTGTGCCGTGTCAATCCGTTTATAAAAAAATACTAATAATCATTCGAATCAATTAACAAAAATCAGTCAAAACTATAACGATAGCCAAAGCAATATCATGGAACATGACATTGCATGACTGGCCAGCCTAATTACCAACACATGCTTCACGCAAATGTTATAGTCATCATTCCTCCTCAAGACAACGTCTACGACTTCTTCACGGCTGACCGCTAACGAAGACCTTATCGTAGCCCCTGCACAAAGTCCACACCGACCTATACCAAATAGCCAGGCACACACGCCAGCGACCAGACATCTTCGTTTTCGTAGGCGAGCAACAATGGAAAAAATATGCAAAAGTGCGCATCACATTATATCATGTGAAACCCAATGAGTAGACATGTCAGCAAGCCAAGTAAAACAACCTCGACATAACCGAACCACCACTCGACGCTGTCGACTTGGTTGGCCACATGTCAACCACAAAGTCATATGCGTCCAGCCCCAAGAGGTGCGAACAA